CTTATGTCTGTATCATTGTATCGGTTATTAGCTACATTTTGGTAAGGGGTAGGGATGTATTTTTCAATGAAAACTGACATCCGTTGAATTCATGTCGTCTGGATTTTTTTAAAATTTATTGTTAACGGCAAAAAAATTCTTACGTCATTTTTTTCTATTTGTAAATTTAAAGATTTTCGGAGGTGTTCAGATTAGAATACCTTTTATTTAACTACGATTTGAAGTATTCTCATTTTTAATTTTTATTATAATATATTTTTTTTATGAACAGTTAAATGTATTAGAATCCCTTATATTATGTAGGATTATTTTTACATCAAGTATAAGTATGTATATTAGGGTACTTTTTTTTTTAAGTAAAATTTATGACAGTGACGGCAAAAATAGTTACTTAATTTCACTGATTTAGTAAACTTTTATTTTTTACATGTATGAACCTAGTAATATATTGTTTCTCATGTAAGTACAAAGGACATGGGTCATTCAAAAGCTTACATCTTGTGGCATTTCATATTAATTTTATTTTACTATAGGTGTTTTATTGGATTCTTTTAAGTGCGTGTAGTACTAAGTAAAAGAAGTTTAGGTTAGAATTCATTTTATTTAACTACAATTTTAATTACAACTTTAAAATATTTTCATTGTTAGTTTTAATAGACTATATTACTTTATAACAGAAGGAAATGTATTTGAAATTACTTATAGTAAGTAAAATTATTTTTCCATGTCAAAGTATATGCATATTACGATTTTTAAACTTTTATATTTAAATATTATTTAAGTAATATTTATGGCACTTACTGCAAAAATAGCTAATTCATTTCTCAGATTTAGTAAACTTTATTTATTAATTAATTAATTTATTTATTTTAAATATATATAAACTAAGTAATAAAGTTTCATATGTATGTACAAAGGACATGGGTCATTCAATGGCCTACATCATCTAGCTTTTCGTTATAATTTCATTTTTTAGTAGGTGTTTTATTGGATTACTGTGCCGGTAGTACTTTTTTTTTAGAAGTGTTTAGGTTAGAATACATTTTATTTAACTGCAATTTTTAAAAGATGCTTAGGTTAGAATTCGTTTTAACTACAATTTTAAATACAACTTTAAAATATTTTCTCTGTTATTCCTATAGACTTTTTTTCTTTTTTTTTTATAAAGTAAAAACAAGTAAATGTAATATAATTACTTACAGTATATAAAATTATTTTTCATGTTAAATATAAGTATGTATACTATCTGATTGCCCCTTTTTTAAATTTATTTTGAAATTTTTAAATATTATTTAAGGAAAATTTTTGACAATGACGGCATATAATAGCTATTTCATTTCTCTGATTCAGTAAATTTTTATATTTATAAACTTAGTAATATATAGTTTCTGGTGTATGCACAAAGGACATGGGTCGTTTAATGACCTACATATTCTAGCTTTTCTTATTAACTTCCATTTTACTGTAGGTGTTTTATTTGATTCTTTTAGATGCCAGGAGTATTTTGAGAGAGATGTCTGATTTTTATATTTATTTATTCTAAATGTAGTTTGATGTTGGTTGAATCTTTTTTTGAATTCATGGCTAGTGCAACCTATATATATTTTTTATGTTTTCAGGACTTTCAATCGAAGAGATATTGCATTGGTATACTAATGATTCAGTGCAACATTTATTTTGCAGAGGGCAATTATGAGGGTTTCTACAGTTACATAGTTTTTGTTTATTTCCATCAGTTTTTATCTTTATTTTTCCATTGTCGAAATTCTTTTGGTTTTGGTATAAGTGTTTATTTAAGAAATTAGCATTATGGTTCTTAATGATTTTTTCTAAGTTTTTTGTACAGCTGTAACTCAATTTTAGTGTGTTTTTATTTAAAATAGTACTTAGTTTACTTTCACTAGGAAAATGCTTGACTATTAATGCGAGGAATTTATGTCCTAATCTGTTCTTTACCATTTGGTTGTATGGGGGAGTATACCAAATAATTTTTCTACATCTGTTTTTTCTATGCTACATTTTCATTTTTTCTATAAGTTAGTTTTGGGTTTTTGTAGCCACTCTCTTTTAGAGCCTTATTATAGGAATTGATATGTCCATCGAAAATCTTGTCATTTGCTGAATTTGTACTAATTCGTTTACTGATAGATAACGGTATATGTTTAATTATAGATGGGGGTGATTTGATTTAGGGTGTATATATAAAGGATAGGTGTTGGGTTTTTTATAAGGTGTGTATGTACTTTTATTTAGATCTAATGTTATATCTAGGAAGTCCACTTTTTTAATTTAGTACTAACCGTAATTTTTAAGCCCATGCTTTTAAATTCTTTATATAATAACTTTCTATTCTATCTATATTGAAGTTAGTTGAGTTTCTAATAACCATAAGTCCATCGTCTCTGTACATACCAATGTCATTTATATTAATATCATAGTGCGCTGTAAGGTTGTATAATATAAAAAGACCAATGAGGTCAGAAGACTCAGCTGAGTCTAGTGATCCCATTGTGATGTCAAATTGGTCGTAAGAGTTCTTAATCCATTGCTCACCTTTATGTATAAGTACCGATTTTTTCGCATACAGAATAATGTTCCTTTCTTCATCTGTATTTTGTAAAAATAAAAATACCTATAAGAACACCGGATTATATATCTTACTGTTCTTTCTTTTTATTTTATATATATATATATATATACACACACACACACATATATATATATATGTGTGTGTAATCAAATAAATAAATATAAATAAATGTACATGTAAGTCTTAATGTGTAAATTACTCTTTTTGAGTAATAATCACATCTACTTATTATCTCTCAGTTGCGTCTCTGTCCTTGGACAGAGTGCGCTCAGGGGCTTCTCTGTCAAAGGACAGAGGGGCAACTGAGGAAAATGATATTGAATAGGTGCCCAGCCCTGGGGAACAGCTACCCGAGGCCGCGCCCTCCCATTGCACCAGAGGGAGGGATCGGTGCTCGCACCGAGGCCTGCGCAACTGTCGGTTGCGGGGGCTGAGGGGAATTTTTGTTCCTGTCCCGGGTGTACGCACCTAAAAATAGACCTTGTGTCACATCTCGTCCTAGTATGGGGACAGAGTAAATACCATGTAAGTATTCTTCTTCTTCTTCTTCTTCTTCTTCTTCTTCTTCTTCTCTGCATTCAGAAGGATTGAAGTTACGTAACAGTTCAAAACAGCCATGCATATTATTTTTTTTGCATTCGATGGTTAGTCATTTTTTCCTTTCTTTTAGTACCTTCTGTAGGAGTTTTGTAGACTCCTTTTTTACCATTCCAATTTAAATGATATTAACTATTAAACCAACTTGTTTCGAAAATACAGACTCAGCTCCGCATATGGTCACAATCAGGAGGTCGGCAGTGAGAAATATTTTTCGACAAATCGAAATTTGTTTGCTATTGTAGCGGATATAAAACACGAATGACATACGAAGTTTCTACTAAACAGACTTTTTGTACGATTTCACACGTCATATTCTAGTTCACGACCAATGTGCGCATTTTCAAACCCTTATTCTATTTCACAAGCCATTTCTGAGATTTTCGAACGCACATTCTACTTCACGGCATATTTCAGCCATTTCCTAAGGTATATTCCAATTTGAGAACCATTTTTGAGATTTCCTAACGCACATCCCATTGCACGGCATATTTCAGCCATTTCCCAAGGTATATTCTAGTTTCAGAACCATTTTTGAGATTCCCTAACGCACATTCCATTTTACGGCATATTTCAGCCATTTCCCAAGGTATATTCTAGTTTCAGAACCATTTTTGAGATTTCCTAACGCACATCCCATTGCACGTCATATTTCAGCCATTTCCCAAGGTATATTCTAGTTTCAGAACCATTTTTGAGATTCCCTAACGCACATTCCATTTCACGGCATATTTCAGCCATTTCCCAAGGTATATTCTAGTTTCAGAACCATTTTTGAGATTTCCTAACGCACATCCCATTGCACGGCATATTTCAGCCATTTCCCAAGGTATATTCTAGTTTCAGAACCATTTTTGAGATTTCCTAACGCACATCCCATTGCACGGCACATTTCAGTCATTTCCCAAGGTATATTCTAGTTTCAGAACCATTTTTGAGATTCCCTAACGCACATTCCATTTCACGGCATATTTCAGCCATTTCCCAAGGTATATTCTAGTTTCAGAACCATTTTTGAGATTCCCTAACGCACATTCCATTTCACGGCATATTTCAGCCATTTCCCAAGGTATATTCTAGTTTCAGAACCATTTTTGAGATTTCCTAACGCACATCCCATTGCACGTCATATTTCAGCCATTTCCCAAGGTATATTCTAGTTTCAGAACCATTTTTGAGATTCCCTAACGCACATCCCATTTCACGGCATATTTCAGCCATTTCCCAAGGTATATTCTAGTTTCAGAACCATTTTTGAGATTTCCTAACGCACATCCCATTGCACGGCATATTTCAGCCATTTCCCAAGGTATATTCTACTCTTTTTCTCGGCTGAACCTAGAGGCGCGTATAATTTAACGGTTCTCTTCTCTGACAGTGAAATTAGTGATCCGATTTCAGCTTTCGTTCGATTCTGTTTCGTTCAAATCACGCCAGTGTTCCCAGACAAGCCATGAATCGACTCTCCCACCCTAGCTATTGGTTTGATAGCATGTTAGAATTAACTTTGTCTTGTTTGGCAGTTAGTCAAGAAGAAAAACTCTGACTTCAGAACCCATTTTGAAGAGAGATGCGATCCGTCAGTTCAACTTGTCCTACTCTCACTTACAAACCTAATGGGTTACGAGCCACGTGACGTCGTGCGCTCGTAGATGTTGATCTCTGAAGATTCGATACGGTTCGCTAGAACGACAAGTGGTAATAGTATTCGAATTGATACTGATCAAACAAGTAGACTCAGCCATGTGGAAACGTGACATACTTCGAGTGTTAGGAAAACTCGTCTTTCTAATGATTCAGCGTTAAAAAGAAAATGCAACTTTTTCACTGCAATGTTTATGATATTTTTAATAAAGTGAAGGCGATTCTTTTTCTTAAATGCGTCTCTTTCAAGTTGAATCATATGTTTGATTTCTGCTTGACTTGCGGAAGTCAAGGTGAAACATTTGACCTCTTTTTAGTTATCAACGGAATTAAATACGCCTTTTGCACATTACAAACAAATAAGTCTTGACGCAAGTGTAGTCATTGATACTGAATTTCTGTTTTGCTGTCGTTTTTCTCAATCTTCAATGTAGTTTATTTCTATGATCAATTTGATATTTATCTTTATATTTAAAGACAGATTTTAACGATCTCTGAAAAATGATCATCTCTAGCAAGTATTATTTATCTCCAAAAATCTTACGAAATGAATGAATATTTATGGCACATCAACTTTTATATATTGGTCACGTTTTGTTAAATATATATTTTAGGTAGATTCTTATGACCCTTACTCACATATCTGTGATATGGTTTACATACTAGAATCGCTAATTCTTTTCAGTTCTAATTTTGATAGATTTGGTGAGTAAAAAATTATATTTTGATTCATTGGGTTTGTTAGGTTGGTTCACTTTTCTATTTTGAAATATTTTACGATCCTTTTGTTTCGTGTTGGATATGAAATAATTAGGGCATTTGAGAAGCTTAGAAGTATTTTCAATGTATTTTTCCTCTTTATGTAAATACTGAGGGCTACAAATTCAGAGTGCTCTTTAATAGAATCTGGTAATTCTTCCGTTTTTTTTTGTCATGGCGAGAATAGAAATTTATGAGATGATTTTTATTAGTTGATTTTCGATGAACACTTAGTTTTAGATCATGGTCAATACAGTGTAACATATATATATATATATATAAGAAAGGGAAAGTGTTATTTGTTTGTTTCGTGAATTAATTCTATCGTTTGTTCGACTTGGTTTACAAGGTCAGATAATATAGTCTTACTGGGATATATTAACAAAGCAGCGTCAGTATATCGGATATATGTTGATTCTTTAGGTAAAATACTCTGGAAAGGACCAGATTCAAGAAATGATGTTTAAAAACATATATATAAAAATAATTTAATTTTAAATATTAAAAAATTTCAATGCACATGTGAAACGCGACACATTTTGTCATCGATTGATATCAAACATTATGTGGCATTTTCTCATATATATATATATATATATATATATATATATATATATAACAATTCAAATGTTTTTAGCCCACCCATGGTATTTTTTGAATTGGCTCAACAGATTTTGTATTTTAAACAAGAGAAAATTATTATACACGGTTAAAAAAAAGTGAGACATGACTTTTTATTAGAAATTTTATTATAAGAAAAAGAAAAATCTTTTTATAATTAAATTTTGCTCTCGACAAAATATCCTCCTTTTGTCTTGATTACTGCAGCACAAATTTGTGTCATTCGTTACAAAAGGTTGTCAAATTTTAAGTTTGATAATTGATTTCATTTTTTTTCAATGGCTCTAAGAGCCCTTTTTCATTTTGTTTCGAGTAAAGGCCTGTATAAACCATACGCTAAGGATTCATACAACCACAGGTACGTCGACAGATAATCTAACCACCATAAAATGATCCTTGATACTTTACACAAATCAGTATAATTTAGGTTATCAACCAAATCCAATAACAAAGAAATATTTAACGATAATAAAACTAAATATACTAAAGCGCTGGAAAAAAAAGGCAACCAGAAAGTGAAATTAGCCTAAGTAGAAAGAAACAACAATAAAGATCTCTATCTATAAAAGGCAGGATGTGTGTGTAACGAATGCACGGCCGCAATTTTCGACGGACTTGCACCAAAATTTACATGCACATGCTCCAAGTTAGCGGGAAGGCCAAGACCGACTTTGCATTTTCCAACTCCCTTCGATAGTTGAAATAATCGATTTTTTCATTGCTACGGCAGTTTTCATGTAGTTTGCGGCCATTTTCTACTAGCCAGAGTAAGAGCCTATAGCTGGCTGCCACGAATAGGCAGGAAGATTCTATTGGCCAGCGTGAGAGCCAACCGCTGACTGACACGAATGTTAACTAGCATGCCTAGCATGCAAAAAAAAAAAAAATCGATAGCTGCATTCGTCAGAAGTGGGAAAATTTTAAATCTGCATGGCACTTTACTCCAATTGGCTCATTCAGTTGCTTAAACTCAACGTTGATTCTGATTCCGCAGAACTGGGTTGGGTGTGAAAAAGTATTTGTTGTTAACATTCTTTTTTCATTTGGTTTTTCCAGTTACGAGTCCTTTTTTAAAACTGATTGTTTTGTGTTCATTTTGTTTAGTTCTTTTTTCGTCACAGATTTAATGTTTAGTATAGAGCTTAGAAAAAATTCGCAGTGTGAGATAGGCAAGAAGTAAGGCAAGTAGCAACATCAGCACGGCAAAGGGCACACCTTTCAAGGCAAAGAAGGGCAAAAATATTTTAAGTCAAGTGATAACGATTGCTGTATGAGTCGTACGATTTTTTAATCAACCACGGGCAACGCCGGGCCATGCTGCGAGGAAATGATAAAGCTAAAACAAAGCAAACGTAACGTCATAAGGTTCAACCCGCCTTACAATAGTAACGTCGAAACTAATGTAGGTAGACTTTTTCTAAATTTAATACGCAAACCCTTTGGTCATTCTCCAAAACTAAAAAAAAGATTTTCAACATAAATAATATTAAGGTAAGCTGTATATATATATTATTTATCGCAATATTATAATATACAGGGTGTCCATAAAGTTCGTGTGCTCTTTAAAAAATTTATAACTTTATTTGTATTTGCGATAGAAATAATTTGTAAATAGGATTAGAAAGAAGTAAATCTATATTTTTTAAGGTTTTATTGAAATTTTAAGTTTCCACATGTCCTCCATCATTAGCAATACAAAGGGTAATACGATTTTGTAGTTCACGGAAAACATTTGCCAACTGATTTACAGTAATGCCTGAAATCACATTAGTTATTTTATCTTTCAAATCTTCTAATGAACTAGGTTTGGTTGCATACACAATTGTTTTCACATGTTCCCATAAAAAAATCTAATGGAGTAAAATCAGGCGAACATGGAGGCCAATAAAATGGTCCACCCCTTCCGATCTATCTGTTAGGAAATTCCTTATTTAGAAACTCTCTAACACACAACGCAAAGTGACAAGGAGCTCCATCTTGTTGAAACACTGTCTTATAACATTTTTTACAGATTATTTCTATCGCAAATACAAATAAAGTTATAAATGTTTTAAAGTGCACACGAACTTTATGGACACCCTGTATTAAGCAAGCACAGAAACAGAATACTAAATAATAATCCGACTAAAAGTCAATACATCTGCCGTAAAAGCGTAACGTGCCCACTAAATGGTCAGTGCATGGCTGAAGGCATAATCTACATAGCTAGGATCAATTCAGAGGATGATGTTAAATATTACTGTGTTTCCACGAGAACAACTGGAAATTGCGTCTTTAGCATCACCAAATGACGCTGAACAATATTAAATACATAAACTGCATAAAACTCAAAATATTTTTGGCGATTAAAAAACAAGTATAAGAACACATCCATTAGCTGGGAGATAACCGCGAAAGCTAAACCATACTATGGAAAGGGAGACAGATGTAACTTGTGTTTGTTAGAGAAGCTTATTATATTAAAACACTTAAATAACCCTAACTTTCTAAACAGGAGAAGTGAGTTGATCGCTGCATGTATAGCTAAAAATAAACACCGATAGAACCCATCATTAATAACATTTTTATATATCTATACACATATATAATTCAATATTATAGATCCTACTCGATTAATTTATGCCGTGTATATACGTAATTTCATCTTTGTAAGTATAAGGCTAGGTTCTAAATGCATTTGATATATAGACTTAACCTAGAATTATGTTAAGAACGTGAGAGCTAAGTTTATTGCATAAGGCATTACTTTAATAATATATTATAATGACGGTTTTTTTGTATGCAAAAAAGAATTATCCCCCCCTTGATACATTGCATATTTACGTAAACTCAAATTTAAAATAAATTATTTAAAATAATTTGTTTTAACTTTTCGTCTTTCGAACTTAATAATTCGAACGATATAAATTATAAACAATTAATTCTAATATTTTAGGCAACTATAATAAAATAAAAAAGTCTTAACACGCAATTTTAAATCAACACCACGAGGACGTGAATTTTATAAAGGTTTAACGGTTAGTGAATATTCTGCGCCTAAAGATGTTTACATGAAACTCTGAGTCGTGCTATCGGTGTAGGATATTCTGCGTATTCACTAATATATATCTAATCTTTCTGTTATATAACATTGAGGAGCACTGTTTTTATAACACATGAGAAAGAAATATATATGTACATGCAAGTATATGTGCTTATACATATGTCTTTTATCATACCCATATGTATCTATCTGTCTGTTATAGTGGAACACACCTAATTTTTAGTTAATAGACTCTCCCACCTATAATAAGTAGGAGTAGTAAGAGTAACGTGGGGAGTCAGTGAGTCAGTCGATGTCGGACGACAGTTAGTCGAATACTAAAGTATCGGCGACCACAACTAGATTACTCTGCATTATACCTATTATATCAAGTTCCTAACGTTTTGTACGTCGAACCTATTTTAGGACAGACTTAGTACAAATACAAGCCTCCACTGTGAAATCACTCCGTAACACTATCTATCTATCTATCTATCTATCTATCTATCTATCTATTTCAGTATATTCATATCTATCTCAGTTTATTCATATCTATCTATCTATCTATCTATCTATCTATCTATCTATCTATCTCAGTTTGTTCATTATCTCAGTCTGTTCTTATCTATCTATCTATCTATCTATCTATCTATCTATCTATCTATCTATCTCAGTATATTCATATCTATCTCAGTTTGTTCATATCTATCTATCTATCTATCTATCTATCTATCTATCTATCTATCTCAGTTTGTTCATTATCTATCTATCTATCTCTCTCTCTCTCTCTCTCTATCTATCTATCTATCTCAGTATATTCATATCTATCTCAGTTTGTTCATATCTATCTATCTATCTATCTCAGTCTGTTCATATCTATCTATCTATCTATCTATCTATCTATCTATCTATCTATCTATCTCAGTATATTCATATCTATCTCAGTTTGTTCATATCTATCTATCTATCTCAGTTTGTTCATTATCTATCTATCTATCTATCTCTCTATCTATCTATCTATCTATCTATCTATCTATCTCTCTCTCTCTCTATCTATCTATCTCAGTATATTCATATCTATCTCAGTTTGTTCATATCTATCTATCTATCTATCTATCTATCTATCTATCTATCTCAGTTTGTTCATTATCTATCTATCTATCTATCTATCTATCTATCTATCTATCTATCTATCGATCTCTCTCTCTCTCTCTATCTATCTATCTATCTATCTATCTCAGTATATTCATATCTATCTCAGTTTGTTCATATCTATCTATCTATCTATCTATCTATCTATCTATCTATCTCAGTTTGTTCATTATCTATCTATCTATCTATATCTATCTATCTATCTATCTATCTATCTCAGTATATTCATATCTATCTCAGTTTGTTCATATCTATCTCTCTATCTAACTATCTATTGTGTGTGTGTGTGTGTGCGTGTGTGTGTGTGCGTGTGTGTGTGTTCGTGTGTGTGTGTGTGTGTGTGTGTGTATTTGGAAGCGATCCCAATGTTCGGGACCTTTGGAAAGTGTTTGAAAAATCATATCATGACTCAAGCCTTCTGAGTGAAATTGGGTGGACCGAACTATATGGGAGGCGTCGAGGGTTGTCCTAACACGAAATCGCAAGCCATCGTGACCGAAGTTTTGTGCGTACTGACCTTCTTCAGACTGCTGATCACGTTAGATAAATGCTCTCGCTCCCAGAAACCGTAACTAAGGTCTGCTCAGCATAGTTGCAATATAAACTACAGGTGAGTTCTGTAGGTGTTGAATACATACGAATGTGCCTGATAATTCTATACATATATAAAATGAGAGAGAGAGAGAGAGAGAGAGAGAGAGAGAGAGAGAGAAAGAACTTTAGATCGCAAGATACATTTTAAGAAGGCCGATAGCAACATAGATACAAACAGTGACAATAAGGTTGATATTTTCCAAGCATTAAATTAGGACAATTTTTATTATAGGTTTAGTTTTCTTGTATAATAAATTGCTTTCATTATCCATCATTCCTTAAGCTTTAGGGCTGACTTATATGACACCTTCACCCCCGGACACGCTCCCACACACACATAAACGAATACTGATAGCTTGTATCACCAGGACAGACCCCCGCTTCAAACTGCTGTAGTTATAACCAAGCAAGAATCGCAGTGCATTCTAAGCATCTGTCTATCTCAGTCTGTTCATATCTATCTATCTATCTATCTATCTATCTATCTATCTATCTATCTCAGTCTGTTCATATCTATCTATCTATCTATCTATCTATCTATCTATCTATCTCCGTCTATTCATATCTATCAATCTGTTGTTTTTCACTTTTTATTGTAGATTCAGATTTCTTGTTCTTCGAGTTATCAAATATTGCTGTCCCATCCAGCCTTGGGTCGAGATATTCTTGCCAAAATCCAAATAAGAAACTGTAATGTTATCGGTCCTAACCTGGCATCTCGGCTTCAGATTCTTTCCCACCGCCGTGCCGTAGCTTCCCTTTACCGCTTCTAAATATTTTTCACAATAATTGTTCTAATGAGATTTCCTCGTTGGGGCTTCGACTTCGCGATTTTAAGCGCAGCACTAGATTGGCAGTTAGGTCTCATAATTTCACTGCTGAAATTGCTTATTTAACCGTAAGTTCTATGTTAACTGCTCCTTCACTCGCACTTTTCGCCTATGGAATTCTCTTCCAACTTTCTACTTTTCTGTTAACTGCAACCTTCATAAATTAAAATGCAATATCAAGCATTGTCATCTGTTTTCTTGAAGCCTGTTTTTTTTTATTGTCTTCTCTATTACTCTCACTTTCAGTAACCCCATTGAATATTAATGGTTTTATCGCCTTGCTTGGGGGTTAAATAATTAACACGTTGACATCCAGAGGTCAATTACGGAATATGACTTAAAATCCCAACTCTATAATAGCCGACTTAAGTAATCATTTTTTCAAATGCTTCGTTTACTTTTTTTAATAAGCATTTCACCCCACGCAAAGCGGGAGTGGCCCTAGTACGCAAGCGGGTTACAGAGAGTGAAAGTGAAGGAAACGACTAGATATGGGGGGGGATTGAAGCATCAGAATATGTCGATTGACATTACATTTACATTTTTGAAGATTATAGTTATCAGGGAAGCAAATAAGAGGAAGGGAGTTTCACTGTCGGGAAGTGTGAGAGAAAAAGCTGTTGGAGTAGAAGAGGCGGTTACATTTAACGCTTTCGATAGTAAAAGGATGTCACCGAGATGCCAACCTTGTAGCACGCTTCAATTCATGCAGTTGGGGTAACAGTGACAGTAGCTCGTCAGTGCAGATGCCAATATTTATAGAAAAGACTGACGGAAGCCACATCACGTCTGTGTGAAAGTGAGTCAAGATGCCAGGTCAGGACCGGTAACATTGCAGATCCGTCTTTGGATTTTGTCGAGAACCTCGAGATGAACAGCGGGGGGACGAGACCAAAATATGCCAACAGTGGACGAGATTTGTAGGTGTGAAGGTTTATCTGTTATATTTTCTATAAATCTCTTCTCTAGAAAAATTGCTAGTGCAATTTTTCATTCCTGCCTTTGACGCCAGGTACGAGTTATTTGCGTTGGAAAATTAGGAGTGAACCCCGTGCTCATAACCTTGGTAGAAAAATGACAAAAAACGAAAAATTCCTGATAGGCGCCATTATAAGAACTGTCAAACACGGGTTGTCTCGCGGTTTGAGGTCAATGTGTTTAAAAAAATAGTGTTTTCATGAGCCAAACACAACGTTCAAATTTGAGACACACACACACGAAAAGAAAATAAATAAAGCAACTCCAAAAAAAAAAAAAACGAACAATGTTTCAAACTGAACCAATCCCAGTTAAATTGGGATGGAAGTTAAACCTCACCAAAACGATCGATAATTTATATTGATAGTCAGAGTCGACATTCGAAACTGGTTTGAAGCTAGTCGCCGATTTGCAGATAAACAACCCTGACAACAACAACAAAGAAAGTTTCAAATAGCAAAAGGCAAGCAAATGTCACCTCGAGGCGCCCGAGGAGAAAACTATCTGCAAATGGATAGAGGTCATGCCAAAGTAGATTTCAATTTGACAATAAAACTTCATTTTTTTTTTAAAGAAAGACCAACATGAAAAGGGAAATAGATAAATACTCAATAACATCGTTTCTCGTATTTTGGGAGTTACAAAGACATTTATTATGCATCAGAAGCCATTAAGCCAATCAGATGATGACAAAATTTTAAAGTTTTGAAAGAAAATCTTCAAACCCACGCAACAGGAAAGAAAATCTGGTTAAATTATAGCCAGTCTGAAATTTTCAGTTCTAAATATGAAACGTCTTATTCGTGGATAATTCATCATTTCACTGAAATGAGAAGCAAAGTATGAAACAAAATTTGCCCCCTCAACGTAAGAGTTTGTAGGGGAGTTAGAAACCCTCTAACATATATTGTTGTGGTAGGATCCACCTAATTTGCATAGTGGAGTACCGACCATATAAATATGGTTGGTACTGGGAAGAGAGAGGGGGGAATCAAGAGATTCAATCCAGAGACTCTGCCGACTGCGACTAAGTCAACACCATCTCCAGGAACGGTCTTCCCCGGAATATACAAAAGACTATATGTAAATATTGTGTACACTTTCTTGTTTCAATACATTTTGTTCTAAGTACATTTTGTGTTGCATTATTATTCCATGCATTAGTCAAGTTTCAATATTTTTCTTCAAGGATCAAAACTCGCACTATGGATGAACAGGATTTTAATGCATATATTATGTTTTCTAGTGACGGATGTCGCCAATAATCGCATTGATACTTCTTATTAATTCTATGTGTGATTAATTCTTGTATGTAAATCATATGCTGCCTAATGTTTTATGTTTATTAAAAAACTATCGATCCGCAGTACATAAAAATTCCTATAAAAAAATTACTATTATGACACTACACTATATTATTGAACTATATACTTAGTTCATGACATAAAAACTGAATACACTTGTAAAAATAGAATACGTGGATTTAACACATCACAAGAAATATTTAAATAAAATTCTCACTTAAAATTTTGAAAAAATTAGCGTTGCGTCCTTGCACGTTCCGAGATCTTACAACTGTCAATAATAGCAGATATTCAAAAAACATCTTTCGGTCAACATACAGATATATCGTCTCAAGTTTTTGATTTTATGAGAAAAAAACACATGCCTGATGATGGATGGTAGACCGTCCGTAAGTACTAGCATTTTAACATCGAATAAACTGAAAAACTACAGACAACAAGTTTTTCTTCAAGGATCAAAACTCGCACTATGGATGAACAGGATTTTAATGCATATATTATGTTTTCTAGTGACGGATGTCGCCAATAATCGCATTGATACTTCTTATTAATTCTATGTGTGATTAATTCTTGTATATATATATATATATATATATATATATATATATATATATATATATATATATAAAAGTAAGAGGTTGTAGTAGTTCCAACGAGAGAAAGGTATTTATATTGAAAAGAAGAGAAGAGAGGTGCCGCAAACGTTTTTGGTTGTAATGTGGATTTTTTAATTTTTTTCTTGAATTCAAGAAAGAAATTCGGATTACTAACACAAAAACAGAAAATGTCTCATATTTAACATTGAAAAACATAAGGAAAAAATTAATTATTTTTAATAATATGTGGAAATCTCCGCTTTTACCTGAAGACGGTCGCGAGACCAGAAACCCGTGTAGGAAAATTATGGAAAACAAAGCATAATATTTTTTCTAAAGAAATCCACATTACAACCAAAAACGTTTGCGGCACCTCTCTTCTCTTCTTTTCAATATATATATATATATATATATATATGAAGAAAATTTTTTGGAAAAAAACAAACAAAAATCCTTAAATGCAATTATGTTGTTTAAAATGAATGAAATGTCGACGTCTGACGTTTCGGTTTAATAAACATCTTCGGGACAATATTCATTAAAATACAATTCAGTTCAATTTGACAAAGACGATGGACATAAAAAACAAGTCTTATCCAAAACAGATAACTGAAAATATTTAAAATGATCAGCTTTCCGTTTAGCATGGTCACGTTGTCGTCACATGGGCGACGCTTTCAAAACGTATTCCTAAAAATTTTTGATTATTTGGAATGAAAAAGAAAATGAAAAGAATTCTATTAGGATCTAAATTTTTTATGTGTATGCTTGTCGAGCATTAATCTCGCTAAAAAAGGGGAAATATTAAAGAAACCAGGTCTAGTATTCACCGTATATATTTATATTATGATAAAAAGAAAGGACAGTAAGATATATAATCCGGTGTTCTTAATTGATTTTTTTATTTTTACAAAACAGTGCTCAATATAAATTTACAGAGCACAAATATTATAAATTAACTGATTTAAAATATGGTTTCTTCGCTACACAGGAATTGCCATGTTTCAAAAACCGAAGCTAAAAACTTCGAATTTAATTATATAATTAAATTAAAAGCATTAGTTCTGTTTCATTTTCAAGTGAATTTTGGAATAACTTATTTTTAAAATTACTGAGTTTTAAAAGCACAGACAATTCATAATATTTGTTTCCAAGGATACAGAGAAATCCAATCATTTAAGCAGGAGTGGTAGCGTGTTCATTTTTATGAACTATTATTGTATTAATTATGAGTTACGTTCGAAAAAGAGGTTAGGTCTAGGTAGGCTAGGGGTGCATTTTTCAACGAATTCTGACATCCGTTCAAGGCATGTCGTCTGTTTATTTTTTATCAACGAGAAAAAGGTTTTCGGCATTTTTTTCCCGTTAAATTCGTACTTGTATACATAAAGATTCTTTCTAAAACGGGTGTTTGGTTTAGAATACGTTATATTGAACTACAATTTTAAAATACTATTTTTAATATATATATATATATATACAAAATACTCGTAAAAATGAAAAACAGCATAACGTGGAAACAATAAAACGACTATTATTTATTATCTTCTTATGTGGTGTTGGAGAAATGAGAGACAGCGATACTGTGTAAAATTTCTGTTTGGGGGAAAATATCGATCAAACTGGATCGGAATCCAACAGAATGATAAGAATAAGTAAAGTGTATACAGTCTTTCTCATAAGTTATTTTATAGATGTGCGTAAAGAGTGTCCAGATAATACAAGAAGTGTTTGCCATTTGTCCAATGCATTGAATATTGCTGGCACATATGTTCTGGTACACCTGTTGTATATCTATAGATTCTTGATAAAATCCAAAGAAAAATCAGGAATATTATTGATCCTGGCTTATCATCTCGGCTTCAGTCACTTTCTTACCATCATAATGTAATTTCACTTTGCCTTTTATATAAATATTTTCATGCTAATTATTTCGATGAACTCTTTACTATGGTATCTCGACTTTATGAATTTAATCACAGTACTAAGCAAGGTCTCATCAATTCCCAGTTCAATTGGCGAGATGTAACCGTAAGTTCTATGTTAGCAGTTTCTCTTTTTTGTTTGGTTTGTAGGTGAGTTAAATAATTGTAACCCCCCACTTGGATTTATATATACAAAGATATTCGCAAAAAGGAGGAACAGAAAAAGGTGGAAGCAATAAAACGAGTTTTATTTATTAACTGATTTTTATATGGTGTTGGTGAAAAAAAGGGACAGTAATACTGAGTAAAATTGTGAGTTTGGGATCAAATGTTGATCAAATATAGATCGACAGAATAAGATAAAGATTGTTTTTATATACATGTCTCTAATGAGTGTCCAGATAATTCATTTGGAAAATATATAATAAGTATTTAGGGTTTTCATCACCTCGAATTTTTGTTGATTGCTAAGAGGTAAATGTTGCTATTATGTCCTGAAAAAGGAAAATGAGTTGATATTTTCGTTGACGCACGTATTGGCGGCCGGTCCGTGTTGACTGCTTGTCTGATAGTGAGCGTGTCACGTTCTTGCGCGTGTAGATGAGTAACGAGGGGCCGATTCTCATTGGTTTCAAATGAGTGAATTAATGATAATTATAATTGTTATATTGAGAACCGGGTTCGAATCTCACCATAGTCGATTTGTCAGGAAGGTGATTTCTTGACGAGGGAGACGATCCTAGCACGCATTTTTTGAACACGACAAATTGATAGCATAATTATTGTTTGATTTAAGTATTTTTATGGACCGAAATTCCTTGGTCTTTACATAGGATTCACCTTTGCTCACCATTCCTTCTCTTTGGCCACAGGTCTTCACACCTAACCCCGTTTATCCGTATTTCGTATGGAAGACAGAACTTTGAAAGTTCATATAAGAAGGAAATTTGAAAATTGTCAGAACAAACACAAAGTAATAATACAATGAAGATCAGCCAGAGACTATGAGGCGGGTGGCATATTGACCCAGAAACGGATATAATGCGGGTGGCATATTGACCCAGAAACGGATATGATGCAGGTGGCATATTGAACCAGAAACGGATATAATGCAGGTGGCATATTGACCCAGAAACGGATATGATGCGGGTGGCATATTGACCCAGAAACGGATATAATGCGGGTGGCATATTGACCCAGAAACGGATATAATGCGGGTGGCATATTGACCCAGAAACGGATATGATGCAGGTGGCATATTGACCCAGAAACGGATATAATGCGGGTGGCATATTGACCCAGAAACGGATATGATGCAGAAACGGATATGGCATATTGACCAGAAACGGATATAATGCAGGGGCATATTGGAAACGGATATTGGCATATTGACCCAGAAACGGATATAAGAAACGGATATAATGCGGGTGGCATATTGACCCAGAAACGGATATGATGCGGGTGACCAAGAAACGGCATATTGACCCAGAAACGGATATAATGCGGGTGGCATATTGACCCAGAAACGGATATGATGTAGGTGGCATATTGGAAACGGATATAATTGACCCAGAAACGGATATAATGCGGGTGGCATATTGACCCAGAGACGGATATAATGCGGGTTGCATATTGACCAAGAAACGGATATGATGCAGGAGGCATATTGACCCAGAAACGGATAAAATGCGGGTGGCATATTGACCCAGAAACGGATATAATGCGGGTGGCATATTGACCCTGAAACGGATATAATGCGGGTGGCATAGTGACCCAGAAACGGATATAATGAGGGTGGCATATTGACCCAGAAACGGATATAATGCGGGTGGCATAGTGACCCAGAAACGGATATGATGCAGGTGGCATATTGACCCAGAAACGGATATGCGGGTGGCATATGAAACGGGTGGCATATTGACCCAGAAACGGATATAATGCGGGTGGCATATTGACCCAGAAACGGATATGATGCGGGTGGGCACCCAGAAACGGATATGAAACGGATATAATGACCCGGAAACGGATTTGATGCGGGTGGCATATTGACCCAGAAACGGATATATGCCATATGACCCAGAAACGGATATGAAGCGTGTAGCATATTGACCCAGAAACGGATATGATGCTGGTGGCATATTGACCCAGAAACGGATATAATGCGTGTGGCATATTGACCCAGAAACGGATATGATGCATGGTATATTGACCCAGAAACGGATATGATGCAGGTGGCATATTGACCCAGAAACGGATATAATGCGGGTGGCATATTGACCCAGAAACGGATGGCATATTGACTCAGAACGGATGATGCCGGTGGCATATTGACCCAGAAACGGATTGAACGGGTGGCATATTGAAACGGATATGATGCAGGTGGCATATTGGCCCAGAAATGGATATGATGCAGGTGGCATATTGACCCGGAAACGGATATGATGCAGGTGGCATATTGACCCAGAAACGGATATAATGCGGGTGGCATATTGACCCAGAATCGGATATGATGCAGGTGGCATATTGGCCCAGAAATGGATATGATGCAGGTGGCATATTGACCCGGAAACGGATATGATGCAGGTGGCATATTGACCCAGAAACGGATATAATGCGGGTGGCATATTGACCCAGAAACGGATATGATGCAGGTGGCATATTGACCCAGAAAATGGATATAACCCAGAAAAGGAGGTAATGCGGTGGCATATTGACCCAGAAACGGATGATGCAGGTTTTCATATTGAAACGGATATGATGTATGGCATATTGACCCAGAAACGGATTTGATGCGGGTGGCATATTGACCCAGAAACGGATGTAACCCAGAAACGGATATAATGCGGGTGCCATATTGACCCGGATATGATGCCGGTAAACGGATTGACCCAGAAACGGATATGATGTGGCATATGACCCAGAAACGGATATGGTGGCATATTGACCCAGAAACGGATGTAATGAAATTGACCCATAAATATGATGCAGGTGGCATATTGGCCCAGAAATGGAATGATGCAGGTGGATATGATGAAACGGATATGATGCATATTGACCCAGAAACGGATATAATGCGGGTGGCATATTGACCCAGAATCGGATATGAAATGGATATGGCATATATTGACCCGGAAATGGATATGATGCAGGTGGCATATTGACCCGGAAACGGATATAATGCGGGTGGCATATTGACCCAGAAACGGATATGATGCGGTGGCATATTGACCCAGAATCGGATATGATGAAAAGGTGTGGCATATTGACCCAGAAACGGATATGATTGAAACGGATATGATGGTGGCATATTGACCCAGAAATGGATTTGATGCGGGTGGCATATTGACCCAGAAACGGATATGATGCGGTGGCATATTGACCCAGAAACGGATATGATGCAGGTGGCATATTGACCCAGAAACGGAGGTAATGCGGGAAACGGATATGATAATGGCAGAAACGGATATGGTAGGTGGCATATTGACCCAGAAACGGATTTGATGCGGGTGGCATATTGGCCCAGAAAATGGCAGGTGGCATATTGACCGACGGAATGATGATATAATGCGGGTGCCATATTGACCCAGAAACGGATATGGCATATTGACCCGGAAACGGATATAATGCAGGCATATTGGCATATTGACCCAGAAACGGATATAATGCGGGTGGCATATTGACCCAGAAACGGATATGATGCAGGTGGCATATTGACTCAGAAACGGAATGGATATTGGCCCAGAAATGATGCAGGTGGCATATTGACCCAGAAACGGATATAATGCAGAAGGCATATTGACCCAGAAACGGATATAATGCGGGTGGCATATTGACCCAGAAACGGATATGATGCGTGTGGCATATTGACCCAGAAATGGATTTGATGCGGGTGGCATATTGACCCAGACCATTGGAAACGGATATGATGCAGGTGGCATATTGACCCAGAAACGGATATAATGCGGGTGGCATATTGACCCAGAAACGGATATGATGCGTGTGGCATATTGACCCAGAAACGGATATGATGCAGGTGGCATATTGACCCAGAAACGGATATAATGCGGGTGGCATATTGACCCAGAAACGGATATGATGCAGGTGGCATATTGGCCCAGAAATGGATATGATGCAGGTGGCATATTGACCCAGAAACGGATATGATGCAGGTGGCATATTGACCCAGAAACGGATATGATGCGGGTGGCATATTGACCCAGAAACGGATATGATGCGGATATTGAACCAGAACGGACGGAATATTGACCCGGATATGATGCGTGAAACGGAGGTGGCATATTGACCCAGAAACGGATGATGATGCGGTGATGTATGTGGCATATTGACCCAGAAACGGAAATGGATATTGAAATGGATATAAGGTGGCATATTGACCCAGAAACGGATATGATGCCGGTGGCATATTGACCCAGAAACGGAGGTAATGCGGGTGGCATATTGACCCAGAAACGGATATGATGCAGGTGGCATATTGACCCAGAAACGGATATGATGTAGGTGGCATATTGACCCAGAAACGGATTTGATGCGGGTGGCATATTGACCCAGAAACGGATATGATGCAGGTGGCATATTGACCCAGAAACGGATATAATGCGGGTGGCATATTGACCCAGAAACGGATATGATGCGTGTAGCATATTGACCCAGAAACGGATATGATGCAGGTGGCATATTGACCCAGAAACGGATATAATGCGTGTGGCATATTGACCAAGAAACGGATATGATGCAGGTGGCATATTGACCCAGAAACGGATATAATTGGCATACCCAGAAACGGATGGCATATTGGCCCAGAAATGGATATGATGCAGGTGGCATATTGACCCAGAAACGGATATGATGCCGGTGGCATATTGACCCAGAAACGGATATAATGCGGGTGGCATATTGGAAACATATTGACCCAGAAACGGATTTGATGCCGGTGGCATATTGACCCAGAAACGGAAACGGATTGACCCAGAAACGGATATGATGCAGGGTGACCCAGAAACATATTGACCCATATTGACCCAAACGGATTTATGCGGGTGGCATATTGACCCAGAAACGGATATGATGCCGGTGGCATATTGACCCAGAAACGGATATAATGCGGGTGCCATATTGACCCAGAAACGGATATGATGCCGGTGGCATATTGACCCAGAAACGGATATGCGGGTGGCATATTGAAACGGATATGATGCGGGTGGCATATTGACCCAGAAACGGATATGATGCAGGTGGCATATTGACCCAGAAACGGATATAATGCGGATATGATGCAGGTGGCATATTGACCCAGAAACGGATACCATATTGACCCAGAAACGGATATGATGCAGGCATATTGACCCAGAAACGGATATGATGCAGGTGGCATATTGACCCAGAAACGGATATAATGCGGGTGGCATATTGACCAAGAAACGGATATGATGCGGGTGGCATATTGACCCAGAAACGGATATGATGCAGGTGGCATATTGACCCAGAAACGGATATGATGCGAGTGGCATATTGACCCAGAAACGGATATGATGCCGGTGGCATATTGACCCAGAAACGGATGTAATGCGGGTGGCATATTGACCCATAAACGGATATGATGCAGGTGGCATATTGACCCAGAAACGGATTTGTAATCGATCCTGACTAGGTATCACAGACATGATGTGGCTTCCCTCTGCCTTTTCTACAAAATATTTTTATGGCAACTGCTCTGACGAGCTCTTTTCCCCTGGTGCTCCCGATTGCACGTTACTAGACTGAAATATATAATGTTGAAATAGCTAAATGTAACCGCCATTTCTACTTCAACAGTTTCTTTTCCTGCACTTCCCGACTGTGGAACTCCCTTCCTCTTACATGCTTCCCTCATAATTAAAATCTTCAAAACTTTTGATACAGCATCAAACATCATCTTCTGTTGACATGAAGCCCGTTCATTTATTATCCTTTCCTCAACTCCCCCTATAACCAGTGCTAGTGGAACCTCCGCCTTGTTTGGGGTGAAATGTTTATAAAAATATGAGATAAACAGTAGGATAGACTTGGCTAACAGTATCGGTGAAGGACAACTCTGAATTCAAAATAGTATCTGGCTCTGGTGGGGCATATACAGGGTGACCCCCAAAAACGGGAACTTTTTAATAATCCAATAAAACCAAGAGTGATGGAAGCAAAATATTTTATTCATCGTAATTGAAACCTTAAAACATGCCATTTAAGAAACAATGATGGAATTTTCATTTTTTAAAAATTACGTCCTGTAAATGGCGTCCTCCTGTACGAATGCATTCTTGAAATCTGCTGTTGAGATTCCTCATTGACTGCTGCAACATCTCGGCTGGGATACTGTGAATTTCATCTTGAATTCTAAATGGCGAAATGTTTACTTGCTCAAGGTCACTGTCTTGTAGTGTTGCCACTTGCTAATGTCTGGCAATATGCACTTCAAAAATTCCCGTTTTTGGGGGTCACCCTATACTTGAAATGTAGCTAAAGTCCGCTTAGCATAGTTGCAGTATAAACCAGAATTTGACTGTGTGGGTATTGAAGAGATACACATAGGCCTGAAGGGACGGGCATGCTTTGAGATGATAAGCCATGCCAAAGATTATTTGCAGTTCGCCTTCAAATCGAGAACTCTGACGATGAATAAGATTATAGAAAGTGAAGACAGAAAAAAAAAGACTAGACTATAGTGTCTAACTGTCAACAGGAAGAGGACCTGCGACGTTCTGTCAGGGGGTCCCGACTTACCCTGCCTCATCCACCATCTACACACCTCTGTGACTCCTGCTCACGGCTTTCAGGAGTAGGCCTTCACAACCATCTCCGCTACCGCCAACAGAAGAGAGAAAGGACACACACACACACACACACACACACACACACACACACACACACACACACACATATATATATATATATAATAGCTGGCCACTCGTATACGAGGATACCCGTCCACTAGGGCATTCCCTACTGCAGACGCTCGATCAGGCACATTTGTGTTTGCTCAACACCCACGGAACTCACCTGTAGTTTATACTGCAACTAGTTACAGTTTCTGGGAAAGAGCGTGTTATCTTGCTTGATCACCAATTTGAACAAGACCAACACGCTCCTACCCTCGGCCACGATGACTTGTGGATTCATGCTACAAGAGTTCCGTCTACCCAATTTCACTCACAAGGCTTGGGTCAAGCCGTGGTATAGTTTTCAGGCACAGTCCGATAACACCAGAAAGTCTCCTTCCTGATAAATCGATATGAGATTCGAACCCGGATCTCATGTTCAGAAAAGCGAACGTTATATATATATATATATATATATATATATATATATATATATATATATATATATAAAGAAAGAACAGTAAGATATATAATCCGGTGTTCCAGACGACACGCTTTTAACGGATGTTAGATTTCATTGAAAAATACATCCCTACCCACTACCAAAACGGAGCAATAACTGATACATTAAAATATAGACATATTGAACACCCAAACACCCCTTGTCTCGCAAAATAGATTTATCTGTAACTTTGGAAACATGAATTTTGTTTTAGCTGTGTATTTAAAACCCAGTAATTTTAAAAGTCTTTAATTTAATTACAAAATTAAATTCGTGGCTTTTAGCTTCCATTTTTGAAACATGGTTAGAACTGTGTAGCGAAAAAAACATATTTTGAATCAATTAATTTATAATATATGTCCTTGTGTGACAGTCACGGTATTAGACGTTAGAACTCAGCATTTGATTCCCACCTATGCTAATGAAAGCGGACGCAATAAAGGCAAATTGGTGAATATATATAAAATATATATAAAATATATAGACGAACTATATATAAAATATATATAAAATATATAGACGAACCAAAATGGCCGAGGAGGAAATCGCTGTAAAGTCACTGAAATTTGTTGAAAAAAAAAACACTCCCCCAATCGCCAGAATACATTTAACAGTGTCAAAAAATACTAGCTACCCTTATGACATGTTGGGTTAGCCGAGACAGGAATAAAATAAAATGTGCCTTTCACTGAACGTTTAATGTCGATCGCCTAACGATTACGTGACATGCAAAACATTGACAGTCGTTGTCAGTCAGACCGACACCAGGCTTTTTTAGAGAATCTTTATCATCAATAGAATGCGTAAGGAACGAGTCGGATTAAAGCATGTCGAGTGGCAACAAGGGCTCAACCGGTGTCATTTTTGTGTGTATTAAAAAAAATATATATAATGTATATATATATATATATATATATATATATATATATATATATATATGTATATTTAAAACAACATGCCTGGCCGCGTACACAATTCCGAAAAATCCTTGTTGAAAACACAACTATACTTAAACATGAAAACAATAAACAAAAACTAAAAATTCTTGAAGCTATATACATAAAACAGTTGAAACCTAACCTGAACAAGATAAACTACGAATTCTCCACAAATATTCTTAAATGCCTATAATTGATATCAGAAGCCGTTGGTTTATACCAACGGCTTCTCATACTTAATACTTCTCGTTTTCACTCTCACGTGATCATGTGTGACGTCACGAGCTGTGACGCTGCTTTGAAATTTTTAATGCAACAAAAACAGGCTATCATTATTCTTTCGTCCGTGTGTTGATTGATATATTGAAATGTAATTGTCATCTTTGATAATGGCTTATGTAAGCCGAAAGCTTAGATTGGATTTAAACATGTATCAATATGGTGATTCCCTTTCGTCTTTCAATAATAATGTTATTAAGCTTATCAGACAGTATGAAAGAAACTTACTTAAAATAAATAGACAAAACTTGTCTATATTATTTAATAAAACATGCATTAATATATATATATATATATATATATATATATAACATGAAAATGAACACGATACCGCCCCTGTCTAAATGATTGGATTTCTCTGTATCCTTAGAAACAAAAAATTATTAATTGTATGTGCGTTTAAAACTCAGTAAATTTAAGTTATTCCAAAATTCGCTTAAAGATGAAACAGAACTAAAGCTTTTAATTTAATTATATAATTAAATTTGAAGTTTTTAGCATCGGTTTTGAAACATGGTAATTTCTGTGTAGCGATGGAATCATATTTTTAAATCAGTTAATTTATAATATTTATGCTCAGTAAATTTACATTGAGCACTGTTTTGTAAAAATAAAAATATTAATAAGAACACTGGTTTATATATCTTACTCTTCCTTCTTTTTACTATATATATATATATATATATATATATATAGCGTGAGGTACATTTGGAAAGTGCCTGAAAAACATACGACGTATTGACCCTAGCCTTGTGAGTGAAACTGGGTAAACAGAACTCTCGTGGGCTATCGAGAGCTGTGTTAGCACAAAGCCACAAGTCATCGTGTCCGAGGGTTTGAACGTGCTGGCCCTGTTCAAATTGTTGATCACGCTAGAAAACACGCTTTTTCCCAGAAACTGTAATTAAGGTCTGCTCAGAACAGTCGGAGTTTAAACCACAGGTTGGCTCTGTGGGTGTTGAGAAAACACAAATTTGCCTGAGCAAGCGTTTGCAATAGCGATTGGCTATCCACCGTAATAGACGGGTATCTTCGAATACGAGTGGACAGCTATTTCATATATATATATATATATATATATATATATATATATATATATATATATAGAAACTATAGACAAAAGTTTATTTTCTCCACCAAGACATTCATTTCTGTAGTTCACTGCTACCTGCAAGCACAATTTTTTTTCTGATGATGCCCATGTTGGCCGAAACTAGTCGAGGAATCTAAATGAAATAATAATAAAAACGAAAGAATATTAATATACAACCCAGTGTGTCTGAAGATTTTAATTTTTTAATATTTTTATTGTTCAAATATATATATATATATACAAAATTATAACCACGAAATATTAGTGTTTGAGCTTTTATATTATATATATATATATATATATATATATATATATATATATATATGTGTGTGTGTGTGTGTGTGTGTGTGTGTGTGTGTGTGTGTGTGTGTGTGTTGCCGTGGATAAATCAAATAACTAGATATTATTATATACTTGCGTTAGCGTGCATACACAGGTAAGCAAATAAATATTTAATCAATTTAATTTAAGGTGTAAACAAAACAGTGCTCAATGTGGTTAACGCGGATCGAAGGAGTCTCTTAGATGCAAGCCATGTGCAAGCCATATGTGAAACGTCACTTCCCCTACAAGCAGGATTGTTCATAACCATATTCGATTCTCACCCGTCGAAGTGCAGTTGAAATGCGCTGAAACAAAGTTGCATCTTTGTAGTGAGTTAAATGGTTTTGTCTATATGATAAAATTATAATAAATAAATAATTATCGCTCTACTATCGGTATCGAGCCCTCTTTTGGATTTATAATGTGAACGTTGGAACTTATATATTACTTTCGTTCTCATCGCAACGGATATATATATATATATATATATATATATATATATATATATATATATATATATTATATTCGAAAATTATAACATAAACATGTTATAAAATCACTACAAAAATAGCCATTTTGTTTCAACACTTC